AAGAACTCTGGGTCCCAGTCCTCCGCAGGCCATTACTACCTCCACCCAAACTCTCTGAGATCACATTTCCTTTCATAAAAGAACCAAAGAAAAGTTTTTGCAAAGAAAATTCTCCCTTAGGAGCTCACAATTTAGAAGACAATGAGTGAAAACAGGTTTTCGTCTTATTAGAAATCTTAATTTTAAAAAGAAATCATTTGAATTATGTATAACTGAATTAATGAGCACAGTGTTGGGCTAATAAACACAAATTTCACACAGCTGACTTCCAATTCACTTCAATTTTTGCTAAGAAATTAATTTATTGTTGAACTAACCATGCTAATTTAGAATCTGAGAAACAAAAGAGAGACAAAATTATCAGGATATTAACAAATGTCATATGAAAAATATGTAGCACATTGTATAGAACTTTGGATTTATCCAGTAAACAGGGTTATAATTTGTACTTGTTTTGGCATAGTACTTATTTAAGTCACTATAAATTTGACTTACTATCTCTAGGATGTTTTTATGTAATGAAACAATGTGGTAATCATTTCTTCTACATGGAACTTAATGATTAAGTGGGACATGAGTCAGATCACAGCCCACAGATTTCAGCTAGTTTACTTCAACATAGTTTTACGTTGAATCATAATGAAATAGAACAACCTTCTGAGAATGTTAATTACAGAGTCTCAAATTTGCCAAAGAATGCTAGCTAGCATCAGGGCCACAGTTTACTCATAAGGATGTCATGAAGAACATGATTAATGCTTTGTTAACAAACACATACATTTATCAGGGTCAGGTGTTCAGCTTAGCTGTTACATCATTAGTGTCCCACATGGGAGGGCCTGGCTCCAGCTCCTGAAACCAGGGTCCTGTTAATGCCAACCCTGACAAAAGCAGGTAACAGCTCAAGTAGTCACATCTGCAATTCACATGGATTTCCCAGCTTCCAGGTTTACTGTGGGCATTTGAGGAGTGGGTTGGCAATGAGAGCTCTGTCTGTCTCTTGAATAAATATTAAAAAATTATGTATCTGGCACAGTGGTAAAGCAAGCTAGTCCTCTGCTTACAACACTGACATCCCCTGTGGATGCCCGTTCATATTCCTGCTGCTCTACTTCCTATTAAGTTTCCTACTAACGGCCTGGGAAAGCAGCATCAGATGGCCCAAGAGCTTGAGCATCTGCACCCACACTGGAAACCTGGGAGAAAATCCTGGCTCCCAGCTTCTAACAGCTCAGCTTTGGCCTTTGTGGCGAGAATTGAGGAGTGAACCAGTGGATGGACGATCTCTCTGTCTGACTCTCCTTCTGTCCCTGCAGCTCCGACTTCTAAGTTAAAATAAAAAGATCTTTAAAAAATTATAATAACATGAGGTAGGGATAAGCATTTAGTACAGTGGCTTACATTGCAGATTGGGACCCCTAGAATCCCCTATTGAAGTGCCTGATTCAAGGTCTTGGCTGCCCCACTGAGTACCCTGCTGGCTCCCAGTACACATCCTGGGGTGGAGGAGGGGATGTCTCCAGTACTTGGGTCCCTCCCACCCACATGAGACTTGGATGGAATTCCGAACACAGGTTCTGGTTGCTGTGGGCATTTGGGGAGAAAACCACGAGACAGAAAATCTTCGTTTGTCTGTATATCTCTCAAATCAAATCAAATCAAATCAAATAAATAGAACATTTTAAAAAGCAACAAAAAGGATTTTGAGGAATTTTGTATTTTTAAAATGAGAATAAACAAGAACTCATTAATCTGCCTAATTTTCAAGTGATCTATGAATACCAATCATACAAAAATGCTACTGATTTTGAAAACAGTAGTCGATAATATTTTACTAAAAAACTTAGTATTTGTAACACACAGGCAGAACAAATTAGTATATTTGTATTATATGTACCCAACTTTCTATATGAAAATGGCAACTGCATTACAATCTGCTATTTTTTTCTTTAAACTCAGAAGAACGAAGTTTTCTTTTTTTTAATATGCTACATTTTTTACACACAAAGAAAATTTTGTAAAAATCACTCATCAATGTAGCTGTTCAATTGGATATAAACTGGATATAAAACATGAAGCCAGTGTCCTGGAAGAAATGCTGAAGTGCTTCACCACTTGGTCTCATCCTATCTCCTGAGTCCAGCCTTTGATCGGCAGACTCCAGGCAGTATATATTTGCTGTGTGATGAGCACCAACACGGTTCCGGTCTGTCATAACCAGATTATGTGGTTACAACACATATAGTGAATCTGTTTTTAGAACCCTATGCCTTCTGTTACTACTACTATTATTTTTTATTTTTATTGGAAAGTACATATACAGAGAGAGTAGGAGAGACAGAGAAGATCTTCTGTCTGCTGATTTACTCCCCAAGTGATCACAACATCCAGAGCTGCGCCTATCCAAAGCCAGAAGCCCAGAGCCTCTTCCAGGTGTGCCACATGGGTGCTGGTCCCAAGGCATTGGGCTATTTTCTACTGCTTTCCCAGGCCACAAGCAGGGAGCTGAATGGGAAGTAGGGATGCCGGGATTAGAACCGGTGCCCATATGGGATCCCAGAACATGAAAGGCGAGGACTTCAGCCACTAGGCTACTGCGCCAGACTGAACCCTGTGCTTTCTGTGCACATGGTGTTAAGAGGACAGACAGAACAGTTGAGCTAACTGGATGTCATCCTGCTCTGTTATTTTGCTGGCTGTGTAAGCAATGGGTCCATCACTTTCACTCTCCTCATTTATGGATTTGGGAAGTAATAACACCTTGTTCACTGAATTTACTGAGTGGATTAAATGCCAGAATAGTAATAATAATGGCTAAGTATACGCTTTTCAAATGACTATTATCATCCCAGGTATCTTAGAGTTCTATTGTTGGGCAGCTTGAAAACAAAGACTCAATTGCCATGCTTGGGTGGTTGCCTTTACAGAATAAGACAAAGGAGAGACAAGAGCCAGAGCCAGAGCCACACAGGTGGTACTTTCACCAGGGCCCCTCTCCCGATGAGACCGCTGCAAGGACCTCTGGAGTTGAAGCTAAACATGCATGTGGATAAACACAGACAGAAGTAGTAATTTTATGACTTTCCAGACGTGCCAGAGCAAGTACTGGCTTAGATGCTGGGGAGTCCGAGGGCCTGTGACACCACAGCTTGACACAGGAAACACTGATCTCCAAAGACGTCTTTAGATGTCTGTCAATTTCTTTTTAATGTTCCATTAATATTTTATGTGTTTTTCACTAACATGTTTTGAACCAATTCTTACTACAAAACTAGATTGGTAAAACAGAGTGATAAACTAGCATTTTTTTAATGATAAAAACTTTATATCAAAAATGAGGCAGTAGCCCTTTGAAAGAAAACTGACACATTTTTTTCCCTTCATATGCTTAAACTTTGTGCTTAAAACACACACACACACACACACACACCCTGCACTAAAAAGAAACAAAATTACCTGTGTAACTTGGGCTGTAACAATAGTTCTTAAAAATTATGAATAACTTAGTACTTAATTTTTAGAGTTAAAATTACAAAGTTTTTCAAAAAGTATAACTATAGAAAGTGGCTTGCAGAAAAACTGCTATATGTAAAAAGGAAACTAGAACATTATTAAAGAACTATTCCTTCAACAATGATTCAACCTAAACAATTTAGTGAGGTATTTCAGCTAGTGATAACATAATTCATGCTAAATATTGCATTTCAAACAGAGAAAAGGAGCTGGTCCATACATTTCAGAAAACAAATATAACTCTAGTATCAAAAATCAAGCAAATTATTTTAACATTTAATTACATACAAAGTTATTGTCACACAAGATTCCTAATCAATTTCATTTAAAAGTATTTAGTAAAATGTCCATAGTAAAGTTTTCTTTAACTTCACATATTCTTTAAAAGAACTTGTAACATAACATTACAAAACATTATAAAGAAAATTGGATGACATTTATTGTTACAGCTCTATTTCATAATTAAATCGATTTAGAAGTTATCTAGAGATACACTAAATAAACCCGTAATAACAAAGATGTAAGTCATTGATTCTGCATAAATGAAGAGCCCTTTGCCCATGAATAAACCAACTTATTTAAACAATGACCAAAGGGGCTAACACTCAGCCACCATTAATCTGATTAAACAGGGTTCAATTTACAACATGTAAACATCATGGATGTTATCCTTAAGGCTTTTTGACAATTTCATCATATCTCAAATGTTAGCAGTTGAAAAAACATTAACTTGTTTCAACTGCCGAGTCATTCAAATTAAAGGAACAGGTGGTAGCAGTTTGGGAGGAAAATAATTAATATTTTAACTGTATAACAAAAATGTTGCATTTACATCAAATATGAAATGCATTCTTTCTAAATGTTTTCAAGTCTTTAAAAAATTACTGGAGCATAATCAAATCTTTGTGAACACAAGTTCTTGGATTAAGTATTTTGTGCACTTTGAGAACTGACTGATTCTGAACTTTGGTCTGACTAATTTCAAAGACTAACCACAAGAAGAATCAGTAATAAGATAAATACTTTTGCTCATGGTGGTGGAGGAGCATCCTAGAAAACTCCCATCCATTGTAGAACAAAAGAGCCAATCGTTTTTAAAGTCATTTTCTCAAAATCTGGAATCTTTAAGATGTCAAAAGATAGAGTAAAAGAAAAAAAAAATTATAAATGATTATTTTAATACCTAAGAGGACAAAATTCTATTAGTAATGACATAAATTGAACCCTGTTTTATTTTCAAATAAAGCAAAAATAAAATTAGAAGAATAATTCACATTGTAAGTCAGAGAAAGAGCTGCAACCCCAATTGAACTGATTTTTAATTATTGCCCGAAGGAGTTTAGAAGACACAGCCCAAGAGATTATCCTTTAGCACAGGAGTAAAAATTAATACACACAAAATGCAATGCATTGTATAATTCTCTTATGTTGGGTTAGCATTGCAGGTAACAAGGATTAGAGGTAAAATAGAAATTTCTATTTCCTACCTATGTCACTGGCTACCATCTTGGAAAACTTTCTGCTCTTGGTCTTCACTGAAAACAATATTTTGATATAAAATGTCAAAATCTAATCAAAGCAAGCTAAATTAATCAAACATATAAAAGAAAATATTTTAAAACAAAGATACTATACCCTTTTCTATAAAATTATTCATTTTTTGTTCATCATCTGAATTGTATGGTGATGAAGAACCTATACAAATGAAGATAATGGAAGGAACAGACAGATCGTCAGTCACAAACATAACTGTCACACAAAGTGTGCAAACGAAAACTCCAGTCAGCTCTACAATGAACTCACGGATCACTGAGCAGAAGAAATGGTCATACATGAGAGCACTCCAAAAGGTTCTTAGAAGAAAATGGAGGTGAAAAGATAAATTCACTTTCATGCAACATTTTGGAAACATATGCACAATTTTTCATAATAACCTCCCATGACTCATCATATATAGTTAACAATTCTTTCAAATTACAACCTAACAACCAGTGCAGTAGCTTTAATGGCAGATACTAATAACATATAAATATTAAATCCTAAAATTACTGTTCTGTAAGTGACATCATTTGGTAAAATCTTGGGCATAGCACATGTTAAAAGGACAAATAAAGAAAAACAATACTAGTAGATTTTTTTGAAAATTTAGTAATTTGTGTGTGGATAATGGAACTCAGTTTCTCTAGTAGAACCATACTGGTAAAACTTCACTATGTTCTGGTTAGCCTGAAATTTCAAAACTATGCACTCCTTGCACTCTACAGCAGAGGTACACTTAACATATCAGGAACAGGTGCCAGTGTTGTGGTCTAGCCTGCTAAGCGACGGCCTGCAAAGATGGCATCCCATATGAACACCCACTGATGTCCCGGCTGCTCTGCTTGTGTAGTGCCCTGCTACTGTGCCTAGGAAGGCAGAAACGGATGGTATAAGCCCTTGGTCCCTGGAGGCACGCGGGAGACCCAGAAGTAGTTCCTGGCTCCAGGCTTTTGCCTGTGCAAACCCTGGCTACTGCGACCATTTGGGAATGAACCAAAGGACGGAAAAGCTCTATTTCTCCTTCTCTTTTCCTCTCTGCAGCTTGCCTTTCAAATGCACATATAAATCTTTAAAATGATATAAACTACTGAGAACAATACTTATATTTTTAGTTATGCTGAAACTCTAATCTACTAATACAAGAAATATTTCATTTTATTTTGGCTATGACTACTAATGCTAGTGCATAATCTCTATAACGCATTTATAAATAAGATTTCATCATTTCCTCAAAAATGCTTGTAAGGTCTGATGGCCTTTCTTTAAATTGTAACATAAATCTTTCACCATAAATTTAATCTTGAAGAGTCTCTGCCTGATCAATTTTAGATATTTATTTATAAAAATTAATTTATTTAGTTTTATGTACTGAGAAGTAGAGAGATATCGGAAGACAAAAAAACACAGACACAGAAACAGACACAACACGAGAGAGGGAGAGGGACAGACGGATGACCCGGAACGCTCCTAGCCACTGGTCCACTGCCCAAATACCTCCAACAACTGTGACGAGGCTGGGCTGAGGACAGACACAGGCGCCAGAACCCGAATCCAGGTCTCTCCCACGGCTAGCAGCCATCAAGCCATGTAATGCATTGATGCCACCTCCCAGGGTCCACCGCAGAAGCTGGACTGGAGTCTGAAGTCAGGTACCCAGACACAGGAGGACAGCACTCTGACGGGCGTCACTGATGGGCCAGATGTCTGTCCTCAGAGCCACGTTCTTTAAAGGCAGGCCTAATGTGTCTCATCCACCAACTTTTAAAAAATTGCTCCAGCTATAAATAACTTCCTCTGGTTAGAGCTCTCATATAACACTTTACATATTTCTTGTATGATGCAAACTGCTCGCTACCCTACATTTTAGATTTACTCTTCACTTTTTTTTTTCGCTACACTGAACTTCTGAAAAGCAGGGCTCACATCTCAATGTTTTACATTAGGCAGTACTTGATACGAAGAACTTCTCAAGGCATTATATCCTAAGTGACTGCAGCTTTTCTACTGAGAAGTAAAAACTTAAAGCACAGTTGTAAGCAAACAGAAAATGTTCCTTTCTGTGCTTCAACATATTGCAGTAGAAGTACTGATTTTAGGGCCTGATGCAGTAGCCTAGTGGCTAACGTCCTTGCCTTGCATGCGTCGGGATTACATACTGGGAATCGGTTAGTGTCCTTGCTGCCCCTTTCTCTATTCAGCTCCATGTTTGTGGCCTGGGAAAGCAGTAGAAGACGGCCCAGGACCTTGGGACCCTGCACCCACGCGGTTAACCTGGGAAAGGCTCTATGTTCCTGGCTTTGGATTAGCATGTCTCCAAATGTTGCAGGCATTTGGGGAGCGAACCAACAGACGGACGACCTTTCTCTCCGTCTCTCCTTCTCTCTGTATACCTGCCTCCCCAAGAGAAATAAAGAAATCTTAAAAAAGAAGTACTGAATTTAAATGAATTAGGGAAACTTGAAATACCAAACAGCATTCCCCCTCACATCAGATGTTTGTCCTTCTGCTTGGGACATCTCTTCCTACTCCAAGAAGACTTCCTGTGCTGACCAGGATCCAATTAATTCTACAGTAGTTTTGCAAAAATAATCTTTAAAATTCATGTTAGTTTTGCTAGACAGTACATATAGATCCTTATAAAATTTCTAGCAAAAATATCAAGTAACACTGAGCTCAGTAACATGACAAGGAAGAGACAGCGGTACAGTTGTTTTTCATAGAAATATAATTCATTCTATACAATGGTTGATGCGACATATGTATTTCAAAATACCACTGTCATCTCCGATACCGAACAGCTACACAACGCATTAACACAACCAATCCCTGACTGGTTTATTTCTGTGGCAGCATACAAAAATGTTCCAAAATGGTTTCCAGCATATCCTACTTGAACAAGTTTATCAAATTACCGCAGTTACATGAACAATTCACTCTTGTTCTAAATGTACCATCCTGTACATCACAAAGCTCTGGGCTTTCTTTAGTTTTAAATAATCTAATAAAAATTTGTTAACTATTTTAAAAACAATTCTAAAGAAGAAGTCCAACATCATTACAGTGCTAATTGAAGCAATCTGAGTTCTTTGCTATAAAATTCAAACAAAGGCATTCTCTTTATTTGTACAGGATGTGATTGTTCAGTATGCAAAATTACCTTTCTATTTCACGAGACTATTGGTTTATTTAAAAATATGTGCAAAGGAAAACTGATATTTGTTACATGGATTTTCTAAGGATCTTTTCTAAAGACAGTTTTGATGTAGTTTATCTCGATAGTTCAGATCACAAATTTTGATTACAGGACTTAAAACCAGTTTTAAAAAGTTCTACTTCATTGAGTAAATTAAATTTAGAGAAAACAGTTGTTTTGGTAAAATTCAGAACTAATTACTATTTCCTTAATTTTGGTTCTCCACTGAGTATTCATGACAGGACTCATTTTTAAGTCCCAACTCAATTTTAAGCATTTCTTCTTTTCCTATAAATGCTTTAAAGATAGTAATTACATTTGTTTTAATAATTTGTAATGTGCCATCTAATTATATTAGCTTGTGTGTTTGTATCTGTCTCAGTGTGAAAAGTATTTCAGGCTAGTGATTTTTACTGATTTTCATATTTTCAATGTCAATGATATGCCTCAAACCCATGCCATCTATTATTACTCTCTTACTCCAAGTGAGTAGGATGTGCATAGCTTGGGCTGAGAAGTGAGTACAAATTATTATTCTATTTTCATGTCAGAATGCTAATGCAAGACTGCACAGAAGGTAAGAATGAACAAAGAACAAGACACTTAGCCAATGCTAGCTAGCAAAGACTACTATTACCTATTTTAAAATAAAAATAAAGATATATGTAGGCTATAAGAATAAGGTGCCCAAAGGATGGTTGTGAAAATCATGTTCTACTTTCTAGCACTAAGTTCTTATAGTCATGTGTGATGAACTCCTATTCTCCTGCTACACGAAACCTGTGTTAGACACATTACTACTTGTAGAAGAAGGTTGGCTGTTTCTTAAGAAATAGTCCTCCCGGGCCTGGTGTGGTAGCCTAGTGGCTAAAGCCCTCCACTTGCATGCGCTGGGATCCCATAAGGATGCTGGTTCTAATCCCAGCAGTCTCACTTTCCATCCAGCTCCCTGTTTGTGGCCTGGGAAAGCAGCCGAGGACAGCCCAAAGGCTTGGGACCCTGCATCCACGTGGGAGACCTGGAAAAAGGTCGGGGGATGGAAGATCTTCCTCTCTGTCTCTCTTCTTCTCTGTATAGCCGACTTTTCAATAAAAAATAGATTGTAAAAACAAAAAGCCCTCCCTAATACGTATGAATAGATACAACTTCTCAAGAGAATTCCTACATGTTTCAGAGAAAACCAAAGCCTAAAAAAATTCTGGGCTCTACATCTAAAGAATTTGTTATTTATCAATGATTTTTGTTGTCATAAATTTTAGTCCGCATTTCAAACTGAGACACAATAAAAAACATAGTTTCACACTAATTTCTACATATTAAAACTATAATGTATCTTTTGCATTGCATCAAAAGACAAAACATAGTTTAAAATATATACTTCAGTTTCTTGGGCTCAAAGACAGAATTTTGAAAGTTTATATATAACCTATAAATACTTCTATATTTATATTAACATAAAATATTTCTCTATTTACATAAATAGTTTTAAATATACCTACACAGTTATCCGTAATTACCACTTATTGGTAATCCATAACAGTTGGATGCACCCATCTTTTGAAGGTCTGGCTTATAATACATATGTTTGTTAATTGGTTTGGGCTGAATCTTATTAAAACAATTTTGATGATAATTCAATAAGTGAAAATGCAATACTTCTATTATCCACTCTGTTGTATGTACTTAACATATTGATAAGCCACACTGGCATGGTCTTGATCAAGATGAAAACAGCAGAAAATAGTGTATGCCGTTGGGGGAAGAAGAGTTAATTATGAAAAGATATTAATTCAAAATTCCAAATAAAAAATTCATAAAGTAATTTAGAATCATCTTAATTACAAGGGGTATGAAATGTATTCCCATGTGCTGCTAATATGTACAGAGGACATGGGACGGCCTATTCACAGACTAAGCAAGGAGAAATATATGAAAAAGACATAAATACATCAGAAACTCTAGTTCCATGAGGTAGAAGTAGGTTACTCAATTCAAATTAGTCATTCAAATTTATTCTACCAATGGTAAGACTTAGTAGTGTGTGATGGTGACAGTGATTCCCATGTCTTTATTAGCTTAGTGACTAAATTTCAATATAAAGTTTAAAGAACAAGAAAACATAAAATGAGCGGATTCTTTTAATTTTATGAACAAAATGATCAACTTGTACAGCATTAGAAAAATGTAATTACACAAAGTTTTACAATCACAGTTCTAATAAGATGCTACCTTGAGCGATCAGAGAATAAAGTGAAATATTTTCTATTCTTATCATTGTTTCTGATGTAGTTAAACCAGAGATGGAAAGATCAGAACCTAAGAATAATGCTACTTATCCTAAGAACCATATTTCCAGCAGAAATCTGATGGAAATTCCCATCCACAATGACGTAAGAATTCTAACAGTTACAATTATGAACCTAACTTTAAAGATTAGCAAAACTTACAATAATCCAATAGATAATTTATTTCTTAACTATAAGGGGTATCAAGACAGGAAGCATAACGCTCCTTTGGAATATTAACATACATATAGGTTACAGAAAGACTCATTTATAGACGAAGAAAGGAGGACTTCAAAAGAAAGCCAGAAGTATACCAGAAAGTACACTGCTCGAGCAATTCTTACCAATCTACAATGACTTTAAATGTGAAGTCACCACCAGATTGTGCTACAATCTCTAATCATTTAAACGGCTAGTACTCAAGTATCAGAAAAAGCAGATCACATTCATCAACTTTTCTTTGGCTCTACACTGTTCTCCACAGGATGCCAGGAATATTCTACAACAAGGTGAGACATTTGAGACAATGATAAGGAGTAAAACATATTTCCTCTAAGGAAGCATTAACACTAGGAAGTTTAAGAAACAATCCATTGATTTTTAAGAGGTAAAACCTTTGGATTTCTAGTGCAGGCTAAATACCTGTTGACTCAATCAGAAATGGAAAGAATACTGCTACGATTTTAAAAACAAATGTGACACAATTTCTTGTCCCTCTGTTTTAAATACTTTCCTTGGCAAAAGTACACTGATATGCTACCTTGCGTTTTATAGAATCAGAATTATTAATGAAATACAAGAACAAATTACCAGAAGTTGGAGATTTGCAGCGATCTTCTGGGACGGCTGTCCCTTCATTAATATCACACAGACCTGCTGAAAGACAAAAATGAAAACCAAATAATAACAAAATTACATGAGCACACTGTTGTCGCCCATTCACCACACAGTCACCTACTTACTGTCCCTTTGAGAGAACTCAGAAAACTAAGTCTGATAGTTTTGATTCTATCTTCATTAGCTCAGACATGAAAAATTCTGACTTTGAGGTACCTCCAACTAACACAGCAGTCACCAATTAAATAAATAAAACCATAAATATGAAAGCGATTTCCAAATGAGATAATTTGTTATTCTTGAAGAGCATTCGATATAATAAGAATTTGTTCAAAATCAGTGATAAGAGGAGCACATGACTTACTTCTTTTTAAATTTCTCTAAGGGAAAGCAAGTATTTCATCATTTTAACACAAGGAGGACACTCAACTCAGAGAGGCTTCCCCTAAGCATCTCTCAAATGCTTCTCTTACATGTTTCTGAACAATAATTAAGAAAAATTATGCTTTCCTAAAGTTGCAAAATTCAAAATATTGCATTTACCTATCCTATATTGCTATACCTCTTAAAACATCACATCACAGAACTTTTACAGAGCTCTAAAAACACTTTCATTCCATTGGTATATGTGAATTATGCAAAACTGAGCTATCTCACAGGATGGCCTAAACTCTTAGCAGGAAAAAAAAAAACAAGGTATTTTATGTTACAAATAAGAATTAAATGGTAAAATATAAATTATTACTATGAATATCATAAAAAATCCTGAAAATATAAAAATTGCCAATATACAGGAACATATAAAGAGTCTGGACCAGCAGGGCAGCAGACTAGGTTAGCAAGTCTCACTTAGAAAAAGTCAGGTGTCACATGGTTTATGCTCATGTGTGACCAGCATCTGTTTATTCCTAACTTTGCTAAGAGTCATATGATGTCAAAAATACCTAAAGACACTATGAAATGCTTTATAACAATACTGGCAGAGAACACACAGTCCTGAACTGGTTTTTAGGAAATGCTTTCTATTTTGAATGACTTAATGACTTCATTCTTTCATAAGATAATGATATTTTTTTTATCTTTGTTGAAGTATTGGTTCTAGAAAAAAATACATGATGACAGCAGTTAAGTAAAGGCATGCAAATAATCTTTGGCAAAATACTTGTTTATATAAAGAAATTCTTTCTTAATGTAACACTAACAGCACATCTCCAAGGATTTCTGGTACTATAAAGGAGTATTATAATGTACTTGATGTGAAATAAAGGTAGTTTTGAAATTTTAACCCTTTGATATTTTTATTAACTCTACTAAACACTATACAGATATTTTAAGTGATACTATTCTAATTTTTCAGATAACCCAGGAAGAAATATCTAGGAAGCTGAATTAATGCAGACTGAGATAATTTAACTGAGATATTAAAAATACATTACAGTGACTGCTAAATGAGCTAAATACACTTTCAGCGCCATTTACTTCATATGCACAGAAAGTCTGAAGTCCACGCCTGTGCTGGTTGACTTCTCCTTGACCCTCTGATATGTGACAGCTTGTTAAGTCTCTAACTTTATTTCCTTTCCTTTTCAACCTACTTCCCAGCACACAAACTTTCCTTCTATTCTTCTATTCATAATTCACTGATCTTACGAGAGCAACTTGGATTTGCTACTGTCTTGCTTGAAATGCTCCTTTACCAGACTTCCTTATAGATGATACTCTCACTTCACTTAAGTCTTTCTCCAAAGTCACGTGGATCGTATATTTGAACACCCTTAAGACTGTCTTAAAACTGTCTTCCTTTAATTCTGCTTCCCCTTGGAAAAGTATACATACTTATATCTTCTACATTGCCTTTTCCAGGAAGATAGAAATTGTACGAGGACAGAGATTCTTTTTTATACTGCTATTACCAACAATGGTGCACAGTACATGGTGGGTGTTCAAATGTTTGTGAATATCTGATTGAGTGGATCGACACAAAAGAAGAAGCATACAGTCTAATCCATCCTTTCTGCTTCTTCCAAAATATTTTCAACAAGTATTTCTAGCACTAGAGTTCCAGGTTTTGCTCAAATGTATCCCAACCCAAGCAGCCAGCTGGCCAAATGAAACATTTACAGAGTGCTTAAAACAGCACCACATACATCTTTGATTCAGACACTAGAAACTAATGGGGTCTACTCCCTGACTGTCAGTGAGCCTCCCTCTATTAGCTTAAAGTTTTTGTTGTTCTGTTTTCCTGAATGCTAAACAATCTCTAATAATATTCACTCTCAAAATTAAGGCAATGACTTAGTTTACCCCACAGGTCCTATATGTCCAGTCTCACAAGGTGTTTCATTTCCTCTACAGATAGATAATATATTGAGGCTGAGAATTATCTTCAGGGTCTTATTAGGAATCCCAGACATTGAGCAAGAAGTAACTATTACCTGACTGACTGGAGTATACACAGCCATCACTTGGGAAGGGCCATAAGCCTGACAGACCAGCCAGAGACCTGGACACCAGCTGGGCATGCACCATTCAGGCCCAACAATAATTGGTAAGAATCTCTATACCTAACTTCTTAGAAAGTGTGGGTATGTAGTGATTGCCATCTGGCTTCTTGCTCTGTCATGTGCGATAAACATCTACTCTGTTTCACCACCGTGGGGTCAGGGGTTGGTTTGTCACACACGGGGTATATGCACGGAGGTTTGGGGGTTTCTGCAACGCTCACTATGTGTAGGTTTTGTTCTAAGCTTTTAACTCACTTAACCATCAAAGCACACGATTAGGTAGACATTATGATCCTCATTTTCAAGAGAAGAAATGCAGATACTGAGTGCTTCAGGTATCTTACACAGGGCTTATAAATTATTTCTGGAGATGGTCCACCTTATTACCTACGCTATAGGTATTTTACTAACGGAAAGTTCTATATAAATAAGGCAAAAACATGATTTAAAAATTAAAAAAAGAAATTTTCAGCACATTGCACATTAATACATTCAGAAATATGGTCACATTTTTGGCACACATTAAGTTCTAGATAACAGCTGAGTGTCAGCAATATTTCAGTCACAAGATATGGTGTGTGTTTATGTGCCATGTCAATGATTACACTAACGTTATGAGGGATTAATAATCTTCATTTTATAAATGAAGATTCTGACCTTTGGAAAAGTATCTCTCAGGTATCACACACTTAAAAATGAAATACAAGAGATCATATTTACATGCCTAACAAAATCTCTAAGTAGATTTCATATGAGTTATACTTGAGCCACATTATTCTGTACATATCCAATAAAGCTTTATCAACTGGACTCTAATATTTATTGCTGAAAACATTTCCTTTGATTTAAGTTTATAGTTTCTATCTATAAATATCTCTTGAGTCTTTACTCTGCCACAAAATGCAGTAACTAGCACTTAGATAATGATGTTCTTTTCCAAATATTCAGATGGGATATTTAACTTACTCTTTGAAATATTGAACAAGACATTATTACCCATTATTCAGTGTAACAGATACATTAGCAGAGGAATACTGCATCAAAATTAGGTCAGAAATTGATCCATTAGCTGCTACTATCATTTCATCTGAGGACAAGGAATATTGGAAACCATTTTCTAAAATAAAAGGTCAGAGAGTAAACAATTTAGATTTTTGAGCATAGATTTGTTTTAGCCATGCAACTCTAAAGTTGCAGTACCAAAGTTACTACAGACAATACCCCCCAAATTCTGGCTGCACTTGATAAAACTGCATTCAAAAACCAGGCAGTGAGTCACATTTGGCCTTGAAGAAGGTATGTGCTGAACTTTGGTATAATCAGTCTTGCAACTGTCAAACTAAACTAGGTATAATGTCACTTGCACCCATTTGGTTCATAAAAGTACCAAACTATTCCTTTTTAAATCCCTCAGTAACTTCAGGAAACATTATGCCAATACGTTGCCAAAAGTCATCATTGTAGTCAATAAGAATGTAAAATTGATTTTGCTAAACTTTTCGTTAATTCCTACTGGTGTCTACTGATCAATTCTAGTTATACACATGTATATGCTCATGAAAATACTCCAATTTGCACACCAACTAAACTGATTTGTAAAATATTTGACCTTTATTACCTCTTAAATTCACAAGTTCTGTTGCCTTCTTTTTATTATTGCTTAATCCATTTATTTGATAGAGGCTTAGACTGTAATTTCTCTTTTTAATTTTAATCCTTCTCAGAAAAATCATTCTTTTAAATGGTGACATGGGAAACAAAGATATTTTCTTTGATATCTGTTTATCAACTGTCACTTACCATCGCCCCAAAATTGGAGTCTCAATCCTACATGAACCAAATTTTCACTCCATGTAAATATTCTTTATTTCTTATATTTCCTGCTTTTGGAAGTTAGCTTAATTCAACACAGTACTTAAGTACTGCGGAGCCTTTCTATATATTATGACTGAGTCCCTAATTCCTTTTTGTACACAGTAGTCTCATATTTTCTGTGGTTTTCCTTCCCACAGTTTCAGTAATCCACAGTCAATTATACTCTAGAAATACTAAGAGGAAATTTACACAACTGTTTAGTAACTTTTAAATTGTGTGCCCATTCTGCAGTGTGATAAAGTTAAGCACTGTCCCGTCTGGGATGTGAATCATCATCCCTTTCCTCAGCAGCTTCCTGTTGCATAAACCACCCACACATTAGTCACTTCGGAGTCAGTAATCAGATTGGCCAAGGTGGTTTCAACAGTACTTGTGCTTGTCTAACACCATGTTGCAGTGCCTACACCACTGTACTACTCATGTCACCCTTTAGATAGTTTATTATCTCACCTTATCACAAGTAGAAGATGGATAAGCACAGTCCAATCTGATATTTTGAGAGTGAGACATATTTAAAGAGTTTTTATCATAGTATGTTGTTATACCTGCTGTATTCTGTCACTACTGTTTTTGCTCTTGTTGTTAATTTTAAGCTCAATCTTAGAATTAAATTTTATCTCAAGTATATACGTATGAGAAAAGTCCAGAACATACAGAGTTCAGCAGTATCTACAGGCTCAGATATTGTGGAACATACTCCCCAAGGATAAAGATGGAGTATTGTAGCATTTTCTGCTTTGCTTCTAATACACATCAACACACTCACACATATTCTAGATATTTCAAGTTCACATGACTAAGATCTTTAGCTGTTTCTACTTTTTTATTTAAAATACTAAGATGTGAAAATAGTTGTAATCGCAGTAAGAAACTTCATTTTAAAACGTCTTACCATAAGTTTTCAAAGAAAAGACAGTTTTATTATTTCTATAATGAAAATGCAGTCCAGATTTTTAGCAACAGTACAACTACATTGTAATAAAGTACTAACACATTTAAACTAAACCTGGATAACAACAGTTTATCTTACAAAATAAATTTATGAGTAATAGTAATGCTAAATCTATGAAAATATATTAGCATTTATTACTTGACAAAAAGTTTCCTGACGCAAACTCATCTACCAAAAGAGAAAGCAAAGCAATGTGATGGCATCTGGGCTCTGCCTCGTGGCTGCACTGTAACATGCGCACTGTATCAGATTTTTTTTGTATCGATGCAATTACAAAATTTTAGTACCAGTCACTCCATATTTAGTTTTATTTGAACTATAAAAACTATCCTGAGCAATCAGAATTGTTCTTTACATATTTAAATATAACTTTCATGAAACAAAATGCCAAATGCCAATATACTGAAGCATAACAGTGAATATCAAGAACTAATACAGGAACACTAAAATAGTTTTCTTCTGTTTAACAGCTAATTCTTAAACGTAAAGCGAAGCTAACAGTAACATGAGTGATATGGAGTTTACTGCAACACAAAACAAAGAAATTAAAATCAATAATTTTTTAATCTTATGGTAAAACTGGTCTTTAGATAAATTTAGATATTTAATTTCTAGAAATTTTCTATATACTATCATAATGTATGAAGAAGAAAAGCAACCAATTGATTTTAGATTAGTAAAAAGTATGTAACAATTTTTAAAATTTTGATCTTTTAAAAATCCGTTCTTTCATGCTAATGTTCTTTCTAAAACTATCAGTTTCTTTGCTTTGTGAGGAAAATGCGGTTGGGACAGAGGTATTTAAATAGCCTTCTTCATATTTACATGCACATACTATGAGATGAATCTAATGAATATATTTTAGAGAACATCTTAATATACTTTTAAAAATAAATGAGCAAAGAACATAAATGACTCTGTAGTCATTTATTTATAGAAATAAATGACTCTATAGATAAAAACAAACATGGCACAACATAAATAACTTACTTAAAACAGAAGAACGCAGTTTTTTCACAGATTCAGAATATAAGCTAGAAAGGCCGCACATGCAAGAGGTCGCAATCAGCATACCTTCGTGAAAGCAATGAAAAGTGGAAGGAAATAAACGCAGACAGAACTACTAGAATGGTGTGGTGGGGACAGCGATCTCTGCTGGAGATATTACATGACAAAATGCTCACACTCACACACAAAATGGGGGGGGGGGAATTGTAAAAGAAAAAACTGATCCTATCAAAGTGACAGGAAAGTTTATATTCCCTTATATGAAATTCTTAGGAAGTATAAAATTGGCAGAATTAAGCAATATCATACTGACATCATTTATAAATAAAGTCTCAGAAATAACCACAATTTTTAGTTTCTTAAAAGTGTTTCCAAAAATGCAATATTCTACAAATGAGTTCGATATTGCCCAAAAGGGATCCCCTCAGCCTCTGGTCCAACGGAGCAGACCAGGACACAAGGCCACAGGGCAGTTACACCTGGATGTCTCATCAGGGCCTTAAGTCTTCATGTCATGACGTGAAAGGCAGCAATACCAGTAATTCTAGCAATGATATTTATAGTAGTGTGCCATCAGGCATTAGTGCTGAAACATTACAATTCAAGATTGATTACATGTGAAACAGAAAATGGAAAATGTTATAAAGAGAACTCTAAGTGAATGTGGACTTGTACTGAACAAGGATATCTGAAAATGCAACACTTTTGAAGATTTCAAACACATGTCCACATCTCTTTATTTTAATACAGCAATAACTTATTTCTGTAAGTTAAGTGATGGAAACAAATAATTCATTGCTCTGATAAATAACACACAGCAAGGAGGAAAATCTACAGAGGAATTTTTTTCTATAATGATACTAATGTTCTTGAAGAAATCTGGCACTGTAGTTCTTTCTTAACGTGCAATAAACTCTGAGTACATTAAAACAAAAAGGAAAGAGCAGTAACAACACAAACAAGACTCATACCCCTTGTCCTGTTTTTTTCAGATTATATATAGATTAAGTCGGGCAAACTACATATGTACAGACAGAAGTCAGCCTTGACACACACCCCACGGCTCAGGGTCTCTTCCCCTTCGCCCCTTACCTCCGGATGGTTGTCGAGATTTGCGAGGGGATCGGGGTTCTCGCCGATAAGGATCGTTAGACCCATATAACTCAATGGTGCCCAGATTAAGCAGCACTGCCTTCTGGAGGTAGTCCACCAGAGCGATGCCATTACAATTACCAAAAACCACTCTGTCGGAAAAAAGCACAAGTTATCAGAAGAAAATGTATCATAGCCTACAAGAAACATGAGGGGATTTTCAGAAAATTCTTTGAAATGAAAGGTAGCCTTTGAAATGAATGACAGGCATGACAATACAGACTGTAATGCCTTCTTGCAAACCTGTTTATTTTAGATCTGCTGTAACAACAACAACAAAAAAGACCCAGTCAATATTACTTAACCAATTATCAGCATCACTTATGAAAAACATTTAGCAAAGGTGTTGAAACTTGATCAGAACTGTTAAGTATCCTACACTAAGCAAGATAATGTGCGTAACGTGTGTGTGTGGGTATGTGTGTGTGCGCGCTGTCTCAATGGCATCTTGCTCCCTCCAGGGAAGACAGCCCCTTCCGCTAGGAAAGGAGTGATTTATCTACTGGGGAAAGCTTTCATAATCCCCACACTGCAATAAAGAAAAAGCATGAACTGTGAAAGTCTCCCTTGAAAGCATTTATAGCCCGTTCTCAATTATGAATCAGAAACCACGACTCAATGAACCATAATAGAGGAATTTTTACACTTTTAAGATCTCTGAAGACGGAAGATAGCAGCACACCCAAGTGAACGAGATCATGTGAGATCACTGTGGGGGTTTGAAGACTACATCAGACATCAATGGAGAGAAAAAATCATAATTCAGTTCAGGCTGAATACTGCCACGCAAGGATGTAAACAAGAGCCTCATAGATTTTTTTCAGCTAAAGCCTAAATACAGACTTTGATGTTATTTTCTCAGCAAGAATTCAAAATTTAAAAATATGGGCCTGGTGTGGTGGCGCAGTGGTTAAGGGCCTTGCCTTGCACGCTCCAGGATCCCATATGGGCGCCGGTTCTATCCCGGCAGCCCCGCTTCCCTTCCAGCTCCCTGCCTGTGGTCCGGGAAGCAGTCGAGGACGGCCCAAAGCTTTGGGACCCTGCACCCGTGTGGGAGACCCGGAAAAGGCTCCTGGCTTCAGATTGGCATAGTATCGGCCATTGCGCTCACTTGGGGAGTGAATCATCGGATGGAAGATCTTCCTGTCTGTCTCTCCTCTCTGTATATCCGCCTTTCCAATAAAAATAAAATCTTTAAAAAAAAATTTTAAATATGGAGAGCCCAGTTCAATGGCCCAGTGGCTAAATCCCTGCCTTGATGCACCTGGATTCCATATTTGGGTGCTGGTTCATGTTTTGGCTGTTCCACTTCCCTTCCAGCTCCCTGCTTGTGGTCTGGGCAAGCAGCAGAGGATGGCCCAAAGCCTTAGGACCCTGCACCCAGGTGGGAGACCCAGAAGAAGCTCCTTGCCCCTGGCTTCAGATCAGCTCAGCTTAGAGTGTTGTGACCACTTGGGGAGTGAACTCTGTAAATCTGCCTTTCCAATAAAATAAATCAATCTTTAAAATAAAAAAAAAATGCACAGAAAGGGCCAAAGAAAATAAAACTCTGTAATTAACTTATTTGCAGCTTCCTAAGAAACTTTCTGTGTGCCTTCTGCTTCTTCCCTATTTGCTTCCTTTATGGTTCTGAATAGTTAGATATTTAACAGGAAAGGGCTTCTCCTTACTTTGTGAAACAGTAAACAAAGGATATGAGAAAAGACTATCTCAGACAATAGTAGCCTGAACTGAGCGAACAACTCCATTAGACGGAGTAGGCTGCAGTAGCTACCGGGGAGGCGCGGGGGAACAGTCCCTAACCCTTACTATTCAAAAAGGAGGCAGCGATCCACCAAACATAAAATGCTCTGGCACTAAACACTTAACAAGAAGTACTTACATAGCACAGCTGATTTTAAGAACAAAACAAATATTTTGTAAGTTTATCACATTGTAATAAAAAGTATGAGGGAACCTTGAACAGTTTGTGGGATTTCCCTCTGAACCTACGAAAACTTAACCAAACTTGTATTTAGGGTTGGGTATTACACAATGGGATGGATTCCTCTTTATGATGCCCACACTCTACACTGGAATGCCTGTTTCAAGTCCCACTACTCTATTTCTGATCCGATTTCCTACTACAGCACCTAAGGGGCAGTAAAGGACATCCCAAGTATTTAGGTTCCTGTTATACAGGCAGGAGACTGGATACAGTTCCTGGCTCATTGCTTTGGTCTGGCCTAACCTTGGCTCTTACAGGCATTTGAGTAAGTCAGCAGATGAAAGAGCGCTCTCTTTCTGTCACTATGTTTTGCAAATAAATACATGAATCCTTGTAAAAAGAAAAACAGTGCAAGAATTCTGAAATCCATGCATGGTTTCTCATAAAAAGCTCATGGAAACTATATATATTATGAACTCAGTATGACCTTCAAAACTATGCATCAAAACAAACATCTTTTAATACCATTTTTATATACTTTTTGAAGTGGCTATGCATATATAATTAGTTTTATGTGGCATGAATAATAAATAACAATAAAATCCATTTGTATAGATGATACTACTATGGATTTACAATTCAACAAGTTACTTTTGGAAGTGGAAAGAACAAATACACAGCTATGGTTCAGAATCAGTTTATGATGATCAGTTTTTCATTGTTTGTTTCCCATTACACTGAGTTATAAAACAAAAAGTATTTCTTTAACACTATCTCAATGGGCAGACATTTGGATTAGTAGTGGTTAAGATGTTGCTGGGAATACCCAGAGCCCCTATCAGAACGCCAGGGTTACAGGACCCACTTGGCTCTTGGCTGAGCCTCCTGAGGGTGCACGCTCTGGAAGGTACCAGGTGATGGCTCAAGTACTTGAGCTCCTGTCTGACTTCCTGTTTTCCAGTTCTGAGCACTTTGCTCTGCCCTGCCCAGTCCAAGCTGCTGCAGGTAGTTGGGGAGTGAACCAGGAGGTCTCTCTTTAAAAAAAGTAAGAAACAAAAGAACCCTTTTTCTTAATTAATTCATTCATTCTTGTGATATTTACTCTATATCAGGAAGCAGTTTACCCAAAGGAGTAAATTATTCAAGATAAAATTATATTCCAAGCAAACATTAAAACTGGCCTGAAATGGAAGTTATAGCAAAACTCATTCTTCTGTATTTTTAAAAATAAAATGATTTCTGGGATATTAAGAAGAAACTCACAATACGCTGACTTATACTTACAGTCCATAGGAAGAATTGACGGCCAAGCTGGTTATTTGTTGTGGTGGTTCTCCACCCACCCACACCAACTGAATAACCAGCTCCATCTGGTAACCTGGAGACTGCTTCAGTGGTGAGTTTTTAACTCTGAAATAAAAAAGAAAAGTATAATCATTTAATTCAATTTTAAGTATCTTATTAGTATACATGCATAATTATACAGTTAGAAAAATAACATGATACATGGAACACTACTAAAATGCTAGAAATTGTAACTGTAAAAGTAAGAATCTTATTCTCTAAAATTATTTATCTAGTTCGAGAGACTAAATTTATATCTAGATAACAACAACAATAAGAAAAAACAAGAAATGCTGTATAAGTTCTCACCATGGGAGAGAATGCTAGATGTGAAGGGGGGAGGGGAAGAAGTGGGAGGAGGAATAGCAGAAAGGACAGAGAACCATGAGAAGGAGTAGCCCAGGAATCAGCAAGAAAAAAAATCAAGTGAGAAAATTAGGCAAGTTAGAAACATTACTTAAAATTTCAGGTATAATTTAAGAAGTGGCTATATTGGCACATTTAAGATATAAGTGACCAGTTCATAGAAGTCTTATTTTAGCCATGATTAAGCAATAAAAAAAAAGCACCTTAAGCCTCATTAAAAATGTCTCCAATTTGTAAAAACTTAGAACTGATCAAGAAATGAGAAGGCTATTTGAATTTTAAAACTGTAAAACAGGAGAAATTCTGCATTTTATGTTACAAAATCTATAACAGAAAGGAACAGAAGACATTAAAAGATGGAGAAATGTAAGATGTTCCTGGATCAGTAGAATCCATCAAAATGGCCATGTTACTGAGAGTGTACACAGATTCAATGTAATCCCGGTCTAAATCCCAGTGACACTCTTCTCAGAGCTAGAAAACATAATGCCAAAATTATCTGGAAACAGAAGAGATAGCCAAAGGTATTGTAAAAAGATAAAAACATGGGTGGAGGAATCACAATACTAGATTTTAAGACATAACGACAGGGCAGTAGTAATCAAAACAGACTGGCATCGAAGAAAAATAGAGATCAGTGGTACAGAATCTCTGAGCAGAATTCACGCATGGACAGTAAACCTAATCTTTGAGAAGAGAACTGAAAATAATAAAGGCCAGTCTCTTCAACAAATGCTATTGGGCTAATTGGATATTGGCTTGCAGAAGTAAGAACAAAATCCCATCTTTCACCTTATGCAAATATCAGCTCTAAATTGATAAAAGACTTAAATTTGCACTCAGACACCATCAAATTTCTGGTGGCAAACTGTATTTTAGATATTAGAAAAACAAAAAACAAATAAATGCTTTATACATTATTATAGTATTGGAAAAAGTTGAGAAAATGGAATCAACATATTAGTCTGTATTTCAAAGCCTAATTACAGTCAAACATGTAATGGAACATTAGCTAACAATTCTGTGTGCTTATGTGCACAATGCAGAGCATGGGAGAGGAACTTGAAACCTTGGACATCAATGCCATCTGGAGCTGGGTGGTTCCTGGTGTGTGCACTGTGTGGTGTTTATCATAATCCCTGGGTTCCCTCTGCTAAATGTCAATACCATCACCTTCTCCCACTGTGGCAACCAGACATCTCAACTATTACATAGCATTCCCTAGCAAAAGAGGCCAAAGTCATGCCCGGCTGAGAATTGCCTGCTTAGAATACACAACCTTGAATTTTATAAACAGATAAAGCATCTTTCAAAAGCCTGCACTTTCAGAATGAGCATGATATATCTTTGGGATGAGTGCATTTAGGCTTAAAAAGAAGATACCACAACAGTTGAAAAACTAGCTGTTAATAAGAAAGATTCTAACAAAAACAAGATTCTAATAAAAAACAAAGCCATGCAAAACTTGGTTCGTTTTAATCAACATACATTCTCTTACTTAACCATCTTCTATACTTGGAACACACTACTGTCTGGCTCTCACCCACAGCCATCTCTGAATCTCTTTAATCTCTTCTGAAAGCACTTTTGCTTCACCAGCCCAAATGACTTCTCAGTAAACTTTGTTAACCATAATTACATAGTCTTTAGTTTTTCTATATTTTTAAACTCTCTATTTTTTTGCCTTATTTGTATTTTAAAAGATAATACATACCCTTGAACAAATTTAACCACTCAATTATAAAAATGATAGAAAAATGACATTTATCCCATTATTCCTGTATAAAATATATATTTAAAATTGGAATTCTATTGGCTAAAGCAAAGATATTCCATTGTGAGAGAAGAGTAACAACAACAAAAAAAAAAGATTATGGAATAACTAAAGCTCTAAAGACTGAAAAAAAAAATCCAGAATTTACGACTGGGAAGTCTGAGCATAAATTTGATCTATGTATAAATGTATATTAAACACTGATACATTCAGAAAGATTGAAACACAGAGAAAATCCCTATTGTTACTTTATTATTGAGATAAAATATTGGTATTTAAAGGAAAAAAAATCATGGAATGCCAACATATTCCTCTTCATGGCACGAAAAAATCAATTATGCTACTTTATTTCACCACAAAATAATGCTACTGCAGCTTTACTTGTTTACAGTTGAAGATATACAAATCCGTGATCATAATTTTATGACTTACTTTAAACATGGTACATTATCACGGAGCCCATCGGATGAACTGCTACTGGTAGAGGGATGAGACTGAGGTGGAACGGGCTGAGAATTGGAACTTCCCACAGGTGTTGACAAAGGAGGAGGCTGCTCAACGTCAGGAGAGTCCACATCATTTATCTCATATAACAATCGGATTTCAAGCATCTGTTGTAAAAGAAGGCCAGCTTACCTCCTGGTGCTCAGTACCATTCATTTTATTACAGTTGACAAACATACACAAATTGCAATGGAAAGAATATTCTATAGACAAAAATTTATCAAAATTTCTGCAAGAAGGATTTAATGAGGAGAAAATGCTTTTTCAAAAAAATGTTTGTGTAGGAGAAGATACATTCACAAATGCATCATGGATTTAGCAACAACATACTTCATAAATATCAAATCAAGAAGACTTGCATTAGTTTGATGAGCTTTTTTTAAAGGAAACATACAATAAAATTAAGAACTTATTCGTCAATGAAAAGATACGCAAAAAATGCTGGGTATTTTTAGAAAATAAGAGATGGTGATGTAAATACTGTGATTTTCAAAAGTTCTATACACAACTAATTGCAAATAGTTGTCTAAATAATAATAGTTGTCTAATAGTTGTAATTCATAAATCTCAGTCAGATATTTGAAAACGAAGATAATGAGGAGATTATTACCGGAATGACTTCTGTAATCACTTCTTGCTTGCTAAATCTATATATGATGACATGAGCCGAAACTCCAGCTATGCACAGCATTCTACTTTCTGGACACCAGGAAATGATCTGAATGGCATATGGGTCTTCATCTACAATGTCTGTGTTTGGCCTATCATCTTTACTTCTTGACTTTTCAAATACTTTAGATGTCTTCAGCTTATATAATACTTGTAAAGTTACTAGAAAATAAAGACAGTATGTTTGAAAGGTTAGTACAAAAACAACACATATAAGGTAATGTTTAATAAATATAGAGAGAAACAGCTTATATTTTTCTGAGCCATTTATCCAGGCTTTCTACATTGTAATAGTTTTATCTGTATTTAGATAACATTTTCATCGCATTCACTGAATGCACTAAAACAAAAAGACAGATTTGGATAACCTGAAAAAATAACAAAAAATGTTATACAATGAAAATAATATAAAAAATATTGCTTTCTCAAAAGACTTTTTATATATTTTCTCTAGAAAAGTTAGTAATATTATTAAACACTTCTACATGATAGAATAACATATCCTGGGTTACCTGCCACTCAAGTTTTTCCAAATTTCAATTATTACAGTCAGTCAGTCTCTACTGTGTAGCCACCAGACATATTTCAAAGACAATACAAACTTTTGTGAAATAAACATTAAATAATTCTAAAGTTTTAATCTGAAAATTCTGATTTCTCTGTAGGTTGGAGAAAAATCTTACAAAAATTTTTCAAGAAAGCATTTAAATATTTCCTGAGAATTATTGACTTACTATTATCTTTAAAAATACTTTGCTCTTAAAACTCCTAAACTCATATACTTATAAAATGAATAGCCTTTTTAAAATACTTTGAAATATCCCTTATATGTCTACTTAAAAACAGGACTACCAAGGCAATGGTGGTGTCACACAACGTGCAAATGTGAATGTTGAAAACACTTACTTGCAGAAGCATCCCAGAACTTAACTGATCCATCAGCATGTCTGTAAAAAGCAAATGAATTAAGAATGTGATGAAAAGAAAAAAATTATAGTATTTTTTCTTAAAAGATAGCGACAAAAATAGGGCAAAAGGTGAAATCTGGATAAATCGACAAATTCTTAACAATAACTTATTTCTATCTTATTACAAAATAAAGAAAGTCTGGGTGGGTCTCAGGATGGGGCGTCTCATGCCTGGATCCCAGACGACAGCCACCATGTGCACGTGGTGAGCTGTTCCTGGGCCTGCCTGGGCTCCACAGGCTGCTTCCTTTGGGGTGAATACACCGAGGGAGGAGGTCTCCATGACTGGGCAGGTCCGGGACCCACCCGCCACCTTCATTGGGCGGTGAATGGGATTTGGGAGGGGCGCAACCTTGGGCCTGGGAATTTAAACTTCCTGCAGCTTCCCACCTGCTGGTGGGTCTCAGGATGGGGCGGGGCGTCTCATGCCAGGGCGGCCAGGGCGCCATTTCTTGCCAGGCTCCACCTGCTGGCTGCCCGGCCGGGGAGCTCTGGGGTTTTGGTTCTTTGAGTCACTGCTTAGTTAGCTCCAGGTAGAACCCATTGTGCTTCTAGGACCTGAAACATTCGTAAAGATTCCAACTGGCAGTAACTCTTCCTTTGTAAAACTTGTAATCACTGAACAATGCCGACCACCAAATACCAGTCCATGCAGAAGCGATGGCTTGGGGCTTGTCCTGCAAAAGTAGCTCCAACAGCTGGCTAATGTGTCAATTGGTAATGGAACAGAGTAGATCAGGCACGAATGAGCAAACCTTAGCCCACAAGCCAAACTAGAAACCAGGAGGGAGCACAGGTCATGCCAAGCTAGGCTCTTATATCTACTGGTCCACATGAGCCAGGGACGCTAAGCCACAGTGTCTAAGGCAGAGGTCGGGACACGTGAGGGGCTGTGCCAAGCTGAGTCAGAGCAAACACTGGCATGCGAGTGAACTATGGCTGGGAACAGGCCCGGTTGGGGAGCTAAGGGGCCAACACTAGCTGGGTTGAGGTTCCTGCCAAGGGGCGTGTGGCCTGGAATGGGGACTGCATTCTGATCTGGAAACGGTTGTAGTCTCCTTTGGCACAAGTGTGGACTGGGATTGGATGCACCGAACCGGGCCAGACCCCAACACCCCCTGGTGTCCTGGAGGACCAGGGCAGATGTGCGATGGACTAGGCAAGGTCTCAAACCCCTACTGAGCTGTGTGTGAGACATATGTGGGTATGGACAAACCATGGCTGGGCTGAAACATCCAACAGCAAGAACCAGATTGGGTTGAAGGCCAGTTAGGAAAAGCCACAGTTCCTGCTATGACAGGAGGTGGACTGAGTAGGGCTGGCTTATGGACCCACTGGTAAGCATGAAACCTGGCATTGGGAGAGGTTCTGATGGAGGAGCCTGGGCAACTCCTCTGGCAGGACACAGACCTGGCAGGTAAGTGCAAGAAACATGATAGGAAACAGCCCAGAAGAGGCCATGGAAAGTTACCCACTGGCATACAATTGGCAGGGGTTGGGGAAAGACCAGGCTGAATCTGTCCAAGTCATCCACTGGCAAATCCAAGCACCAGTGTGGGTCAAGCCAGGTTCAGTCGCAACAAAGACTAGTGCACAATACAGAATGCCAAGGTGAGGTTGCCTATACCGGAAGGGACCGCAGCGCCCAACCAGCACGAGAACAAGGAAAGGAGGGGGCAGAGCCGGCAGGGGAATAAGGGAGGGTTCCTTTGCTGAACAACTACTCCTGCAGGAGAGCGTAGGCTGGGATGGGGGCAGACCAGACTAGGCAGGACTACCACACCTGTGCACGTCAAGTGGCCTGGATCAGGGAAAAGCCGGGCTGGGCAGATTATTCCTACTGGTGCAAACAAAATTAGAGTGGGTGAGGGTTGTTTGGGCTTAGCCACAGCATCAGCTGGAATCTGGGAGTGGGAAAGGCCTGGGAGGGAAATAGTGGGCTCATCCCTCTTGGGTTACCGCTTCCACGGGAGGACATAAAACTAAGACAGCGGCTGGGGTGGAATGGGGTGTGGGACAGACTGGATTACTGCTACACATACTGGCAATCCAGGGTAGGGGGCGGGCCTGGTGGGGGTTATTGCGGGTCGCTCCAACTAGGCTCGCACTGGTTTATGTGAGGACCGAGTATGTGCTGGGCAGAACCAGGCTGAACTGCAAAACCCATTGGTTCCAGTGGAAGTCGGGAGTGAAAACAGAACCAACCCAGCAATTACAACCACCAGCTGATCAGGGCGATGGACTGTGCCAGGCCCTGTACTTGCTAGCACATAAAAGAAGTTTCTTTGAAGATCTTCCTAATCTAAATGCTGGACTCAGAACTCTTAACCAAGAAAAGAGAGAAGACAGAACAGGTCAACCAACCATCTCAGCTATATGATGGACTATGTCAATCAGTGGATTTTTCAAAGACCTCATAGTGCTTGGAGTGGCAAAATTGGCAGCAATTCATAACTGTGGCAATATCAAAACCACTTGAGCAAGAACCTCAGAGCATGCCCTACATGCGGGACCTGGGGAGGGTGGGAAACTGGGTGGGCCTTCTCCCTTAATACCCCCTTTAAACATGAAGGAAACAATATGGAAAAAATACTAGTCTTACCCACTTTCCTGTAGCCCTTGAACCTTTCTGCCCTAATTAACTATATAAAGAGTATAAAAAAATAATAAATAAATAAATAAATAAATAAAAGTCTGTAAGTTGCCAGTAAGTTAAAAGTCATGCAGTCTTAATTAACATATTTATCTACTATTGATTTACTTGGTGAAAGCTGTTACTTACCCTGTAATAATTATTTCTGGGTAACTTTGAGCACCCAAGCCCCAATTACCTCCATTGATGGGCCATTCCTATTAAAAAAAAAATTACTATGTAAAATAATTTGCAAGCATATCAAATGTCATGATAATGTGAATACATTACTTATAAAAATACTAAACATATTTTATTTCCAAAATAGTTTAAAAAAAATTTTCTATTGAGTATCAATGTTATCAAGCATCCCAAGGTGATAAGCACAACAAATGTAACACTGACTATTGAAACTCATATTTAATACCTTTTTGCTGTAACCTTGACGTTTCTGTCGAGCTCCAACAGAATAAAGTGCAGGAATAAGGTCCACAGGACAATCAGCAAAATATTCACAACACGTTACCGGGGATTCATGTATATTCAAAGGGTAAGGGTTTTCAAATATAGGATAGCTTTAACAGGAGAGAAATATTAATTTAGTGAATTATAAACAATAATCAGCACAAAAGGAAAATTTTCAAAAACATTTTTATTAAACTGATTTTTATGTTAAACTGTAAAGATTTTTGGTCTATTTTAAGATGCTCTATTAAAAGAATGAATGGAAAAGCAATATTTCCAATTACATAACATTTGCCACACATAAAACTAAATGTGCTTAATAAAGTGTGCCTCATTTAAGTCTTTCACCAAACTTTTGACAGAGGCATTTTATTGAAGAACACTTGCAGTGGTGAAGGTGCCAAGTACATGCCACCTGGCAACGAGTAGCAGCAGAAACTGCCCACTACAAGCAGTAAGGTTCTCAACAGCAGATCCTCGTAGCAGCAGAGGCAACGCATTTTCTACACTTTCTATCACCAGTCCAGTGTTTAGTCAAGAACATTTTCCTGTTTTAGTAATCATTTAAAATAAAATTCTACCATAAATGCTATCTAGATAGGAAATTATTTTACTGAAAAAGACAAATTCTCTCAAAAATCATGAAATTAAAGTAAAATCTTATAGGAAAACACAAATGATACTCCTAGAATGTGATAATTTTTTAAAAAGACTTGTTTACTTTTATTGGGAAGTCATATTCAGAGAGACAAGGAGAGACACAGAGACAGATTTCCCATCCTCTGGTTCACTCTCCAAGTGGGAAAAATGACCAGAGCGGAGCTGAACCAAAGCCAAATCCTAGGAGCTTCTTCCAGGTCTCCCATGTGGGTGCAAGGTGCCAAGGCTTTAGGCTGACTTCAACTGCCCTACCAGGCTATAAGCAGGAAGCTGGATGGGAAGTTGTGTAGCCGGGACATGAACCGGTGCCCATATGGGTTTCCCAGTGCACACAAGGCGAGGACTTCAGCCACTAGCTACTACACCGGGCCCAGAATGTAATATAGTTTTTAAAAATATTTTGAATCACCAGCAAGTGGCTTAAAAACACAAAATATGGGGGTGGCGTATGTTAAGCCAAAACCTGTGATGCCAGCATGCCATATGGGTACTGGTTAGATCCCAGCTGTTTCATATCCTCTCTAGCTTCCTATTAATGTCTTGATTAAGAAGTGGAAGAAGTCCCAAGTGCTTGGGCCCATGACACCATGTGGGACACCTGGATAACGCCCCTGGCTCCTGGCTGTGGGCTGGCCCATACCTAGCCTTTGTGGTCAGTCAGGAAGTGAACCATTGGTGAAGTATCTTTCTTTGTGCATCTTTTTTCCTTGCTGTATTATAGTCTTTTAAATAAATAAATCTTTAATAAATGTGTATATACATATATATACATAGATAATAGATAAAAACAGCTAAAAACCTCCCACAAAAATTATTAAAAAAAAAAAACCTGAACACACAAGGTAGCTAATTTGTAAAAACACCAAAAAAAAAAAACCAAAATTAGAAAATTTCAAGTACTTTATAGATTATAAAATGAGCCCAACTATTACTATCCTTTCCCAAACAGAAGATCAAAAGTGTCTTTCTTTACAGCACATAAGTAATCAACTAAAATTCTACTACACTTTATATACATGCAATGGATGCTTTTGCTAAATAAAATGTCTAGCCACAAGTTATTAGCACAGTACTCCTTTGACTTCCAGATCTCAGTACAGATTACATGTGAAAAGTCTTACTTCATTGAAACACCTGATTGTCGTGGGGAGCAGATACTAAGTTAAAGTAAATTTAAGGCTGCCTAAAAGCAAGCACATAATCCTGTTCACGTAGTACAGTTTTCTGATTGCAACACTGTCTACACGAGGCACCAGTGGGGGGCTAGCCCGCGCACTGTGAATGTTGTGCAGCTAGTTGTTTGACCTTCTGAGTAGATGCCAATAGCAACCTCTACTCCAGTAAAAGTGACTGCAGACACTGTGTAATGTCCCCTGGGAAACAAAACCCACCTGCAACTGAGAAACTAAAATATTGATGTGTATACTGAAGTACGCTTAATGACTACTTCTCAGGAGATATGAATAAATAACAATGTGTTTCTAATCAAAGAATTTACAAGTAAAAATATTATCATTAAAAATAGAAGCATAACAAGAAAAATATCATAAAAAGTTTTCAGAGGAACACAGCAAATAAAATAAAATTAATGGTGAGGATGCATATATCAGATAGGATCTTCCTGGTGAAGAAAACAGGGAAAGCCTGAAAAAAGGACTGACTTGGAAAGGTTATGGGGTTTTGATGCAGTGAAGCAACCAGAGTGTTCCGGCTGCTGGGGATTATATTAGAGAAGACACGAAACCATGCTGTGAATTCAATGAACTCTAGTTGTCTCAGAATATGCCATCTGTGGAGGCATTGAGGAACCCAGCTTGTAACCATTTCTACTCAATTCTTTCTTTTCAAAGCAGTAGGCTCAGAAGGAGTTACTAAATAATAATAATAAATGTTAAGGAAACAGGATTGGCATTACATGTAAAGTTAATCTGATTGTGGCATGTATGGCACACTGCAACAGAGAGTGAATGAAACAGACAAAGAGAATTTAGTGGTAACTTATGATGAGGCTAATTTGGAGTGTGCTGCTTTTGCGCGATCCCAAAGTACTCAAGTACCAAATTAAATCATTAAATTTCAGAAATTCAATGCATTTTTGTCACAGATAAGTCTACAAAAATGCAAAACAACTGAGAAATCTGGCAAGTTCTTCACACATGGACTGGAGCTCGAAGGAGGCCAAGGAGATACAGAATATGGCATACCAACAGAATGACTTACCAAATTTCATTTCTTACCCATTTTGTGCAAGGTCTATTAGTACTAAATCCTTTTCTAAAAGAACAACCACCGCATATGGTTCCTGAAAATCTGGAAAAAGAAACAGTGCATGAACAAAAGTTTTCAATATGCAAGAGGACAGGAAAACAAATAAGGGTAGTCAGTTTTAGATAAGATAAATCTAATATCTCATTTTGAAATTTTTATACTTTTATAAAGATGAGCAACAAGCACAAGAAGCTCAGGGTAACTCGTACAGTATTGCAAATTCCAAGGCTGGACATGGATAACAAACCAAAATTTAATCTGAATATTTAGGTACCAGCATTATGGCACAGTGGGTTAAGCTGCCATATGGGAAGGTAGTATCCCATTCCCAGAGACCTGGTTCTAATTCCAGTTGTTCCAGTTCTGATCTAGCTTCCTGCTCATGTACCTGAGAAGGCAGCAGAAGTTCCAAGAACTTGGACCCCTGCCACCCATGTTGAAACCCAGACTGGAATTCGTGGAGCCTGGCTTCAGCCTGGTTCAAACCTAGCTGTTGAGGTCATTTGGGGAACAAATCAGCAGATGGAAGATCTCTCTCCGTGTATCACTCTTTCAAATTAAGAAAATGTTTAAAAGAAAATCTGAGCTTCCATAACAACAATAACCATTACTTCATCTCACAGAAAAAATAATATAGCTCTAAAATAATATTTATCTTTCTGGGATGCTTTAAAAATGATTGGTAATAACAGAAAAAAAGTGTATCTTTTTACCTGAATGAGCTAGAAATGAAGTTAAAAATATGTAGATTTAATTCCTCTTGAATTATATGATTGTGATGGTTACTCTTTTGTGTCAACTTGTCTGTTCTAAGGTAACCCTAACCATGTGGTCAAACACCTGTGCAGATGTTGCCTTGAGGATATTTTCACAATCTGATTAACATTCAAATCAGCAGACTTTGAGTAGAATCTATTAGTATCTGAATGGATGCACCTTCTCTTATCAGTTCCAGGTCCTGATGACTTAGCTTTTCTGAAGAAGAAGCAACATTATGCTTCAAAACTGCAAGGTAGAAACCCTGCCGGTCCAATCTTGCTTTAGATTCTATACTGCAACATCAACTGTCTGTGAGTTTCTAGATGGCGGGCCTGGCCAACTCCACAGATTGCACAATCGTCAAGCCCCACAACTATTAACTCTTAAAATTAATCAACCAAGCATTTGTCTTTCCAAATATGTATGTCTCTCTTTTTTGTTCTTATTCTCTGGAAAACCCAAGTACATTAGCATTTTACAGTGTCTAAATTTCTTGATATGTGTAGTCTTCTTTCTTCAAAATAGCAAACTAAACTTCTGAAATAAAATTTGAGAGACTATAAAAGAATATCTCTTTCCCAGGAGAATCAGCATGATTGCAGAAGAAAAATAGAAATGTGTCTCTGCCTGGAATATAAAGTATCATCATAAAATTGGCTTTAAAGATGAAGAGCTTACCATTTGGGTATGGCGTCTCACACAGTGTTAGAAAATCAACAATTGGATAGTCCATTTCTAGCACAGCAGTGCTTTTCCCATGCATCACTGTTAAGCAAGGTCTTCTTCCGACAGTATCATATGACAGACCTCCTGATAAAATAATAAAAGGCTCCCTGGAAAGAAAACACATAGTTAGGATTACAATTAGCAATATCAAGATATTTTCTTTTGTATTCTATTTCAATTAATGCTAGAACCACCTTAAATTCTGTAAGACATTTAGTTGAAGAGTCACATGTAGGATTTTAATTGGATTAGGTAAGGCCCAGGTGAATTTCTAAAATTAGCCTACAATAAAAATGAACAGCATTCACATTTAATTCTCTTGGTCTCTAAATGGTTTTCATTGAAACACTATATGAAAGTGTCATAAAATTCTCTCTGGGTTTCTACTGATAAGTCCCTTGAAACTATTGCTCTTATTTTTATTTCTAGTTTTATAAAAGTTCCCAAAGAGAATCTTAACACCTTGAAATATACATTGTATGCAATGAATTCATAACTCACAGACTCATCAAAAATTATTTCAGCTACAAATCACCCTTTGTGAGAACTGCGAAGAGCCACTCATTTCCTGTAAGCCTTACTCTTCATTTGCATCGCTGGGAGACACATTTTCAAACCACACCTCCTTTATACAAATTTATATGCCGCTCTCTTGTCATTTTATAATACCCCTACAACTCTGTTAATCTAATTTCTTCCCTTCCAATCATTAAATCTAAATGGTTTTTCAAAATCTGTAAATACATTTTCTTTATCTCTGATTTCCTTTCCACTGGATAGAAATGAAATTCTATGGGATATATTATACAGATTATTTAAACTCCCGTGTCTGATTTCCAGTCTGTTATGATTTAATGCAATATGTATCTCTACTTTCAAATCAAAGATGGACTCTCAATGAACCTGTTAAATTTATCTTGACAGCAGGATGCTGGACTTTCTGCCATTTTCTATAGCTACAATGTCAGGATACACTTAAACAGCATAATGATGGACTTAGGACTGTTTTTGTAATAATATAGAGGAAGCCAGTTGGTGGAGGGGATTTGAAAGGGGACAGGGAGTCCTGGAGCCTATGGAACAGTATCATAAAGCAAACAAACTTTTTTTAAAATGTTGCCTTAGGTTTTTGTTGTTGCTACACGTGGTGTTTCATTTGCATGTGCTCCAAGTTTTGAGAGTTTCCCTACCCTACATCCTCCTACAAATCAGCCATCAGAGATTGGAGTTTCCAGCAGGGGAGCGCAGATACCTGTCTAACTCTGGCTACAGAATGCTCTCTCATCCCTGCAGAGAGCTGTCCACTTGAACCTAGCACGAAGCTCCAGGACATACACACATGGCCTCAAGAGGGAAGCCCAGGATACCCACCCCGCCAGTTACAGCAGTTCAATCAGTCCTGAGTGGGTCAGATGCTGGAGCCAAATCACCATAAAGTGTTTAAAGCTGACTCCAAAGCCACTAAAACAATCTCCTTCCTCACTCATTGTTCATGAAGTTTACCCCCTTCACCTCCACTTTAAGTCTTCCGGTCTGCTACAAGCAGCATGTAACCAGTAGCTAATGGTAAAAGTCCTAGTTCTGAAACTAAGTCGTGTGCCTCTGAATCTCGGCTCTGTCATTATGTTCTGTGGAATCTTCTACAAGTTGCTGTTTCTGGTTTCCATATTTGTATTAAGAGAGAGAGTAATAAGTTGCAAATGTCACATGGTTTTTTAAATTGTGCATTCCCTGGCGCACAGCACACCCTTTGTAATAGTTAATTACTATTATTTGTCAGTATCATTAAATCATCATTATCACCTACTGTGAAAATTTCTTTCATGAGCGGAAAATAAAACAGGAGCAATAATAAACAAGCGTCACTAAATTTTAATCAGATTGATAGGCATCTAGATAATTTAATTTATAAACAGTAATTACATACCTATACTTCTGCAAGTATATATAGATTGGATTTGTTCATCATAAGGAGGAAAATTTGAGTAGTAAATGTAAATGAAATGAATGCCTCATAGGAAGACATCAATCAAAAAAGTTATATGTTTTAGTGCTATACAGAATTATGAAAATCCTAAGTTTTTGTTTGTATTTGATAATTGGATTAAAAGTTCTATGGAACTAAACTATTTTCTAGGTAATAAATGAGCTATGAAATTGAAGAATAATTGAATCTATTTTTTAGAATTTCAAAATTTTTTATTTATTTGAAAGGCAGAATAACAGAGACAGAGTTGGAGAAAACAGTGACAGGATTTCACTTCATTTCATTGGTTCATTCCCCAAACAACAGCTGAGGCTGGGCCAGAGTGACGAGGGGAGGCAGGAGTCTCTTCTGGACCTCCCACGAAGATGCAGGGACCCAAGCTCCTGGACCACGTTCTGGTGCATTGCCAACCACCACAGGGAACTGTATCAGAAGTGGAGTCATAGCCCTGCAAATGGCTGCATTGGCCAAGTGCTAGGCCAGACCAAAGCCAGAAGCTCCAAGCTTCTGCTGGATCCCAACATGGGTACAGGTGACCAAGCACCTGGGCTACCTTCCACTGCCTTCCCGGGCACATTAGCAGGGAGCTGGATCAAAAACACAGCATGTGGGATTTGAATTGGTGCCCAAATAGGATAAATGCACCACCAATGGAGGCTTAACCAGCTACACCATAGTTTCAACACCAAATGTTATTTCTCTCAAAAAAAAAAAAAAGTTTACTTATCTACTTGAAAGGTAGAGTGAGAGTGAAAGTGGAAGACATATCAGTCTTCCACATCCTGATTCCTTGACAAATGCATGCAACAGTCAGGGCTAGGTCAGGTGGAGACCAGGAGCCTGGAAATCCATCCAGGTCCTCCGTGAGTGACAGGAGCCCTACCACGTGGGCCTTTGTTGGCTGCCTTGTAGGATACACTAGCAGGAATGCTGGCTCAGAGGCAGAGCAGCAAGAGCTCAAGCCAATATTACAAAACAGAATGACTGTGTCCCAAGCAGCAACTTAAGCAGTTCCATCATAACATCTGCCCCAAATATATCCTTAAACAAAAGAAAATGAATGGTTGTTTTCTTTGTTAGGTATGGGTAACACTGGGAGCAAATATTCTAGTTGTGAGACAATGGAAACAATACAGATAAATCTGGGATAGATCATACAATAACTAACTAGAGAGACAGTGATAATTTTAAAAAACATTAACCTACCTGCCATTAAAATCTTTTAAAACTCAATTATTTATTATTTATCTTAGAAGGGTGGGCGAACGGAAAGAGAGGAAGCTAGCGAAAGCTTTCACCTGATGGTGCTTTCCTGTTCCTCCAACAGTTAAAGATGTGCTAGGCCAATGCCAGCTGGGAACTCAATCTGGGTCCTCTTTGTGGATGGCAGGACCCCAGCACTCAAGACATCATGTGCTGTTTTCAGGAAGCAGAGGCCAGAAGCAGAACTGGGACTCCAGCTCAAGCACTCAGATATGGGACATAAGGTCATAAAATATTTCTTAACTGTTTGATCAAATGCACACCCCAGACTGAAATTTTACATGTTACAACAGATTAACTGATAAGGCCTTAAAATTTTTAAGTCCACAAATTCAAAGAGTGTCTTGCATTAGATTCAATATAAATATGACTGAATTTTACTCATGACAAGATTTTTCCCTTTGACAACAAAGGGAAACTCTAAGATCAGAACTTAAAACTGGTCAGATGAAAATTCGATGTGTAGTTTGAAAATTACTAGAAGTTCTCTAGTCATTTGAATAACTGACTTACAGGCATTGTTATAGAGCTGTAAGAGTCACAGAAAAATGATTAGTTTTAACACGTATGACTTAATGTCAATGTCAAATGTTAAGGTTAAGATGGTCTAAGATATTCAGCCGCAAGACAGAATTTAATTCTCTTGGAAGGCTAAACTCCCCTTTTTGAAGGATTTTTTTTAATTGGAAAGGCATATGTACAGAGAGAAGACACACGGAGAAAGATCTTCTATCCATTATTTCACTCTCCAAATGGCTGCAACACCCGAAGCTAAGCCAATCTGAAGTCAGAAGCCAGGAGCTGCTTCTGGGTCTCCCAGATGGGAATGTGGAAAGTAATATACAAATTCAGTGTGAACCCAAGCAAAATTCCAAAAATATTCTTTTCAGAGCTAGAAAAGATGATGCAAAAATTCATCTGGAGACATAAGAGACCATGAATGGCCAAAGCCACCCTAAAGAACAAAACTCAAGCTGGAGGAATTGCAATTCTAGACCTCAAGACATACTATAGAATAGTGATAATATAAGCAGTGTGGTACTGGTATAGAAACAGAGGAAAAGATCAATGGAATAGAATAAAAAATCCGGAAGTGAGCTCACATGTAAAGCCAACTAATCCTTGAAAACAGAACTGAAATTAATCCAGGGAAAAAAGTTTAGTTTCTTCAATAAATGTTGCTGGAACAACTGGGTATCAGAAGTATCTGCTTCAGAAGTAGGAAGCAAGACTTCCACCTCTTACCTTATACAAAAATCAGCTATAAATGGATCAAGGGCCTGTATCTACACCCAGAAACCATCAAATTATTAGAGGAAAACATACAAAACACTCTGCAAGATACAAACATTGGTAACCACTTCTTATAAAATTTACCAAAAGCACAAGCAGTCAAAGCCAAAATAAGCAAATGGGACTACATTGAACTAAGAAACTCTGTAGAGCAAGGGATAGGATCAATAAGAGAAGAAGCAATGACAGAATGTGAGAATGGCTTTGCACACTACACAATAGATATGGGACAAAGAGCATCAGGAACTCAACAACAGAAAAAACAAACAACCCTGCTAAGAAGGCAAATGAAATGAGCAGGAATTCTCAAAGGAACAAATTCCAGTCCCAACAGACATTAAGAATTTGGAGGCTCCCTGCTGTTCCACCTAACTCTAGTGAGATTGGCCTACATTCAGAAATCTATTAACAATCCCTGCTGGTGTAGATGTGGGGAGAAAGATACCCTACTCCAAGTGAGACCTAAGGCAGGTGCATCAATTATGGAAGACAGCAGGAGAGTGCTAAAAGAACTGAAATTGGATCTACTGTTTCACAGGAGTGGGAAAGTTGGGTCATACGTTA